TGCTGGTCACTGTCTTCTCTATCTGTGGAATACTGTCCTCAGAAAACAGGACTAGGGTAGAGTGCCCAAAGCCTAAAATGAAATGTTAAGGGCTGCTGGGATGAAGTTCAGTAAGGTTCATGAAAGATAAAATGAGAAAAAAAATGACAGAGGAAGAATAAAAATCAGACAAAAGTTCAAGGTAGCCTGGCCGGCATGGCTCAGTGGTTGAGCATCAACCTTAATCAGGCCTTATGCCAGGGTTGTGGACTCAATCCCCAGTATGGGGCATGCAGGATTCTCTCTCATCATTGATGTTTTCTCTTCTCTCTCTCTCTCTCTCTCCCTTCCTCCCCCTCCCTGCCTCTCTGAAATCAATAAAAAAGATATATATAAAATTCAAGGTAGTTCATACACCATATGATCATGAGAACTTTTCACAGGAATGTTTGGTCTTTGTTCAAGGCAAAAAAGAAAAAGAAGGCCTAGACAAACATGGCAGGCAGCACCTGAACCACACAAATATGACTCCTGAGGATTAAGTGTGATCGATTCATTGATTCGGTCTTCAAATCTTTATGTCTCTGGAAGCAAAAGGCTCATGTTTCCACAATGCATGCTCATCGCAGTCACTTGGTGTGTGGCCGCGGGCTGTCTAGGGTGCTGCCCAAACGAGGGACCTCGTCTGAGGTCAACAGTGGAACGTAGGGATGCAGGCCATCGGGTTCATTACAGTCCAGGACACCGGCATGCTCTGACTTTCCTCAAAGACTGCGTGAGACCCTTGGCAGCCGCATGTCTCAGAGAGACAGCTTTCACAAGGGCCAGCCTTGGCTGGGTGGCCCATTGGTTGGAGCATCGGCCCGTACACCAAAGGGTTGCAGGTTCAAATCCTAGACAGGGAACATACCTAGGTTGCGAGTTTGATCCCTGGTCTGGGTGCGTATGATCGATGTTTCCCTCCCTCCCTTCTTCCTTTCCTCTCTCTCTAAAAAAACAAACAATAAATATAGCCTTGTGTGAGGATTAAAAAAATGGCAAGAGCCATTATGTCTCCAGCTTCACTCTCTTCTCTGCTGGACATCCTTTTTCCAGCAATATGACTGCAGGCTACCTCACAGACCCCACGGGTTCCCTCCTCTGGACCTGGTCTCCAGCCTCCCTCAGGACTCCCCTTCTTCTTATGAGTTACATCTTTAGGTACCAATGTGACTGTGTCTTGTCTAATGTTATAAATTCCCGAGTTCCAGGTTCCTTGGCTCCTCCAACCTCAGAAGTTCCTCATTCCCTGCAGACAGTGTCCTGTCTGTTTAAATATACAAGCATTCAGGATATTGTCATGTGGGGCCAAAAAAATAGAGACAATGCTGCTGAAATCAAGCACGGTCCCCCTCTAGCACCCGCTTGCTCCCCACAGCACTGGGAGTGAGGCTGCCAGTCCAGCTCCAGGTGACAGCTGCCCAGCTGGGTGCACTGCGGGGGGGCGGGAGGGGGGGCGGAGACAGCCAGTTCTCACACCTGGGAAGGTTTCCTGATGTGTATCGGTCTGTTCCCTTCTTTAATTCTGTCCTGCACCTCCTCAGGGTTTTTCGGAGGAATGTTAATGACAGACTTTTCTTACTGGAACTCATTTGCTAAAATACCACGCATGGGGGGAGGGGGGTGCGCGAGTCATAATTTATCCACGGTGGCCTGTCTCCCGCCCAGAGCTCCCCCGTGACCACAGGCCTGCCTTTGGGAAGAAGACCTGACAGGATGGTTCAGGATATTGTCACGTGGGGCTAAAAAAGCAACAGGCCCTGGGTTACCCCTGGGGGGAAATTCTGAGGAGGCAAAGCAGGTTTCCTTGCTTACGGGCATCTCCTGGGCTTGGTGTGGACACTTCCGGCCAGAAACTACTCTTGCCTAAGCAAATACAAGGGAAAAGTGCTAACTGGCCACACCACCATCTAAAAGTCGTTCAATAGGGAAGTCTGCTCTTGGCAACCTGGAAATTCTGAGTCCCGTGGAGGAGAATATCCTTCAGGGCTGCCGAGGACAGAGCACTGGGTCAAGAGCTGTGCTTCTTAAAATTCACTTTATAAAGCAGGACCAGGAGGACTTTCCAAGGACGCCAGATAAGAGCTTGTTCTACCACACCCGGTATTAGCTACCAGTTGTTTGCAAAAAGAAAAAAGTCCACCTGTGACTGTAACTGAACTGACATAATTGTTCCACTCTCCCTGCACGCACCTGCTTTTCACAGCAAAATACAAAACCCCGCCATAGTCCCACAAAGGAGTTCCGGTTGCTGGGGGCCCCAGCGCCTGCTCTGAGCTGCTGCCTGGAGGGGAGGCAGCCAGTGCTGGCAGCCCGGGCCCAGGGCTGCGTGTGCTCATACTGGCCAGGCCTCCAGGGAGTCTTGGATATGCTGGACGGGACGTGCTCCTGAGAGCACAAAGCAGCTACTTCGCTTTTTCTAAGGCCACAGACAATTGAAGCACACACACACACACACACACACACACACACACTGTAGGATCTGCCAAAACCCATGATCCATATTCCAGAATGATACACAAAGTACCTTCATGCACATGCATCTTAATAAATGCTCTCAGGCCGGTGATGAACAAACTCACTTGAGAAGGGTGGGAGGGGAGGGGAGGGGAGGGGAGATGGCCGCACCCCTCCATGCTGGAAATTCACATGCCCCATCTTGGGGCAAAGGAAGGCAACGTTTTCCCTGTGAAATTTCTAGAAGCTTCTATCTTTGGACAAAAGAGTATTCATAAAAAACTCCAAATGAGGGCTGTTTACATACATGTCATGTAACAATAACCAGTAACACTCCCGAATTTTCAATGGAACTAAATGAAGGTTGAGCGAGTCATAATTTAATATCTCCATATTCTAATTAGCATCTTTATACTTAAAAATCACAACTTCATGTCAGGCCTCAGACAAGTCGGTTCTTGTGTCTATGCCTTTACTGCCGGGGTGTCTTTAAACTGTTACCAAGACATTTTTTTCAAAGTCTTTACGGCCCGTCTCTTGGTGTGTTGGGAACCTGTGTCCGCCCCGGGTCAGGAGAAGAAAGCGGGTGTGAGTGAACACAAATGGAACTGTGAGTTTGACCTGGATCTTTTTTTCTTAAATGCAAAAACCAAAGCAACTAGGCACAATCAAATCCCAATAAGGAAAAATAAACATCAAAAAGAGAGTAAATTTTTTTTTTTTTTTTTTTACTGTTCTGGCTGTGGAACAATTTTCAATTCAAGAGGGCCTAATTTAAAAAGCTATCACAAAAATATACATTTTTAAAATCAAAAACTATTACAATTTAAAGGAATGTCTATCCTTATAACAATGCAGAGATAGTAGGTCCCCCGTTTCTTTGAATCTGAGATGCCACCGCTAAGGAAGAGAAAGAGCGTGCACTAAACTATGGCTTGCCAAAAGCTGTAAATCCATCCCAAGCTCCAAGACCTTAAGTTGGAAAAAAACCATGCATGCTTAAGGATGACAAACAGGATTATCATCTCTGTTATAAAATCAGAAAAGAAATGCTGACAGGTATTAAACAGCTCCCCTCCCAAATGACAAGCCCATTCATACTGTCTTGTAAGTACTGCCCATTGGGGTTATAAAGTGAAGAATAAACCAGCTGGAATGATATGTGGTTATGTCTTAACTGTTCATTTCCTACATAATGTCAAAAAAGCTATTCATTGCTTACGTGTCATTTTTTGTGGTCACCTAAAACACTTTAATGCGTTATGTCTTAACTGTTCATTTCCTACATAATGTGAAAAGCTATGTATTACTTATGTGTCATTTTTTGTGGTCACCTAAAAACTTTAATGTAAATGTAAAAACGGGGAAGATGAGTTACTATTTATTTAGACTGTCAGAATAGATGCATATTAAATTAAGTCATCACAGATCTTCTATGTAAAACCAGTCTCGACCACCTTAATGCCTTATACATACCAATTCTCACCATTGTGCTACCCAGTAAGGTAACAAACTGACAGGTTATTCCTCAATAAAGAGAACATACACTTCTGCCTTCCGAGAAGACAGAGAATTCAACTGTAATTCTTATAAATAAACATCTTGAAACCATAAATCAGGAATCACTGAAATACTAAGTCAAAGGCAACTGGTAACCACCATATAAAGATCTAGCCTCAGCCACATTATCAGAATCTAACACAAGTCTCATAGGACACAGTTCAGGTCAGGTTCCTTACCTTAATCCTTCTGAGGAGGACACCTGTTTTTCAACATGAGGGGCCCTTGATGTTACTACCTTTGGGGGTTTACCTCTCTTCAGTGGGGGCTACTAAGAGCTGATATTCGCCAAATGAAGATAATTTCAAACTTTCAGCAACACTCTAAGGCAAGTTGCCCAGTTTAGTCTTGGACCGAGCAACTTCATCCATATCTAATGTTAAATTTAAATTTTCTTTGTTAAAATAGCGTTCCCTTTTAAAATTCACATTATTTTTGATCAGGATATGGCATTCAAAGTAAAATCTTGGGGCCTAGATAAGAAAACTCATAATGGCAACCTTTCAGGAATTTTCAAATCAGTTCTGGCCACAGAACTAATTTAACGTCCTTAAAACACAGAATACAGACTCGTCATCACGTTTAACAACAAAGCAAAAGAAAATCAAACAAACAGAAAAATCAACCACTGAAAATACACCAATGATTTCTTCTAAAATAGAAGCTTTCCCAAGAATTTCACATCGAGTGCTTAAAAAAAAACCCCACAAAAAAGTCAAGGCTTTACAGTGTTTCCTTTTCAACTAGACTTCTTTAAAGCTTAATGGCATCATTCAAAAGCAGACGAATGGACCCAGGAGACAAAGGGAATCTTTCCATTCAGCCACGTTCGGTTATAATAATGCCACATCCATCTCCAACCATCTATAATGAAAGGACTTCGGAGAAACCCAATCTGTGAGTAACCACCCTAGGAGGCAGTGTCCTCAAAGACGGGGTCTCAATCTAGAACTGGCCTCTCTTACCTTCTGCATGTTTGGCTTGACACAGCGAACAAAGAAAGGATTAGAGGCGCTTAGGGTTGCCATCAAGGAATGCAGTGAGTCCTAATAGAAAGAAAAAAGTACATGTCGATTTGGTCTCTTAGTATCTCGTTCTTTAAATTTCTCAGCACCTTAGACACTTATCAGAAACAAATTTAAAAAAAACAATTTAGTCATAGGAATAATAATGGTCTTTATTTTTCCTTGAAATAGTACCATTTTAAAAAATAACATTATTCTGTTAATCAGCAAAAAAATCATAGGCTATTTCAATGGTTAGCATAGAAAACCTGAGAAATATGAGCTCTCCCACTGTAATTATTTATCCAAACTCATTATTTCCATCCAAATGACCTATAATCCTTTCCAGCACCTCGCTGGTCTTTGACCTACAATCTCCACTCTTACCTTCAATTTCTATAATACCGCTTTATTTTCTTCTTCTTTACAATTTTTTATTGTGAATTTTTAACATTTACCAAAGCAGACAGCATGCAATGAATACTCATCGTCAGCTTCAGCTAATCCCATTTCCTCTGATCCCTGTCTCCATCTGTACTATGCCCACCCCTTGCAGAAAAAGCAAATCCAAGACATTGCTTATTTCATCCCTCAAAATTTCAATATGTTCTATTAAAGGATAATCACTTTAAAAAATATATAGATAGATAACCATGTCCATAGAATCCTAAAAAGATTTACCATGAATTCCTTAATGTTAACATTAAAAAGTGCAATT